GACCTCTTTGGTGTTCCAAATGAACACTCTGACCTTTTGATTAATTTTTCAACACTGACTCCTTTCATTGTTCTCTAGAGCACACTTTCATGACAGTGACTCTCTCAGTCTTAGCACCCTATGCCCTGTAGACAGAAAATTTTCAAAGACCTCATTTTTAGGTAATTTGTGTTTTTGCTATTATTTCTTTGGCTTTGTGGTAGTTGTTATAGATAAACAACTATGGATATAGACAAATTGGCTTTAAGACAGGACCTCATGTAGCCTAGACTGGCCTCAAATTTGCTATGTTGCCAAAAAATGCCTTGAACTCCTTCCTGATCCTCCTGCCTCTACCTCCCAAGTCCTAACTAAAGAAAACCTGGTTCTTTTTAAACAGGTCTCCTCTCAATTTACCTACTTTCAAATTTTACTAAACACATAAAAAGAAATCAGAATGCATCTTCAGCACTTTGCTTGGAAATCTCATCAGTCAAAATCTAAGTTTATTTCTTGTAAGTCATGCTCCTCACATAGTCACAGAATATAATTTTGCTAAGCTTCCTGCCACTATAACAAAGATTCCCCTTCCTTCATCTTCATTTCCCTCTGAATCCTCACTATTAGCATCTCTAAGGCCTATATTTACACTAACTATTCACAGTGACTTAGATTTTTTTTAAGGTGACTTTTTTCCTAATCCTTTAACTTCTGAGTCTTACACAGTTATTAAAATCCACATTTCCACTAACAGTTTAGGGCAATGGTCTCCCAACCTTCCTAATGCTGTGACCCTTTAATACAATTAGTTCCTCATGTCATGGTGACCCCCCAACCATAAAATTATTTTCATTACTACTTCATAAGTGTAATTTTGCTACTGTTATGAATTATAATGTAAATATCTGTGTTTTAGGCGATCCCCATGAAAGAGTCATTTAACCCCCAAAGGAGGTGTGACCCTACTGGTTGAGAACCGCTGGTCTAGGATTTCCCTAACATATCCTCAAAGTTCCAAAGCTACTTTCAGATTTTCTGTTACAGCAGCACTTTTCTATTCAACTGTTGCTGTAACAAAGTACCACAAATTTAGAGGGTTAAAGTAACATTCATGTTATGTTATAGTTAGTTTACAGTTCAAATGAGTTGGTGTCCAAAACAGATCTCACTGGAAAACTGAGATGTTTAGAGGCCTGTATTATGAAAGCTATAGGGGTTTGCTGGGTTTGAGTATGACCTTTAAAGGTTCAGGCACTGGAAGCTTATTGCCTAGAATGGCAGTGTGGATGTGGCAGAACCTCTAGCAGATGGGACCTAGTACAAGCTACTTAAGTCACTGGGGACGCTGCCTCCAGAAGTGATTATAGAAATCACTGAGGACATGGTTAATCCTGCAGGACCAAGTGTTATAAAAAAATAAAAATACTGGCTTCCTGCATCCTCTGACTTCTGGTCTTACCACCTGACCTCTTTTATATACACTCCTGCCATTGTGATGTTTAATTATATTATAATCCATAGAGCCCCCAGCAGAGGTCAAAGAGTTGGGGCTTCTCAACTGCTATGATTTGAATGAGAAATGTCCTCCATAGATTCATGCATTTGAACATTTGGTCCCCAGCCAGCTGTTTGGGAAAGTTGTGGAGCCTTTAGGAGGTGAAGCCTCGCCAAAGAAAGTAGATCACTGGGGGCAGCAGCCTTTGAGGCCTTATATAGCCTGGCCCATCTCCTATTTGCTATCAGCCTCTTGGATATAGACAAATTGTGGTCAGCCAGCACCCAGGTCCTGCTGCCACCCTCTCCCTGCCTGCAGCCCTGTCTCCCCACCAATGTCTCCCCACCATGACAGACTGGAACTCTGAGCCAAAATCGCCCTTTCCCTAATCGGCTTTAGTCAGGGTGTTAACCATAGTGACAGGAGAAACAAAGACTCCAATCTTGAACTTTTAGCCACAAATGAAGTAAATAAACTTCCCTACTTTTTATAGAACCCAGCCCCAAGCATTGTTTTAGCAACAATGTAAAAACAAGTAAAAAGTAAAGCAACAAAAAAGTAAAGATAGGTGAATCCATTTCCTCACTTCTCTCAACTTCAGAGGTCACCTGTGCCCTGTGACTCAAGGTCCCTTCCTCCATTTTCAAATCTTTAGCAGCATCTGTCTGACCATGTTTGCATCACATCTTTTTACTGACACTCCTTCTGCCTCCCACTTGTATTTTTATAAAGATATGCTTTTATTATTTGTGTGTGTGTGCACGTGCATGTGCGCACGAGTGTGCATAAGGAGCCAGAAGAGGGTCTTCCCTTAGATCCCTCAGAGCTAGAGTTACAGATGGCTGTAAGCTGCCCAGTGCTGGTGCTGGGACCCAAACCTGAGTCATCTGGAAAAGCAGCAGCACTCTCTACTGCTGAGCCATGTCTCTAGCCATCTACTTCCATTTTAAAGAATGTTTACTTTTCAAGGGACCACATGAATAAACCAGAATACTCCTATCAGCTTTTACTGCCCTTTGCCATAGAATATAACATATTCTCAGGTTCTGGGAATTTGGACATGGACATCGTCAAGGGACCATTATTGGACCTACCATACATACTAATCACTTAAAAGCACCAGAAACAAACTGTAATTATATCTAATAAGGCTCAGAGGGAAGCATTAACCATTGAAAGAACAAATAACAGTTACTTTATCTTTAATTTTTCAAGTATTTGGTGAATTAAAAAAATATAACTGTTTGTGGCAGACACCACTAGATGACTAATTCAACATTAATTTTCAACCCCTTCTTCCTTGACTGCTCCTAGTACTTGGACTATAAAAGCTAAACACTCACTTGCCTGGCCTCCTAAGAAAAGTCATATAACATAGTTGTGCCAAATGAAATCTAAAATTTGCTTGGGAAATGTTACTGCATTCCTGCTAAAAGATGCAGATGGTGCTGGCACCCCTTGGCCCCTTCCCAGTAGTTCTCCTGCTTGAACATGGGACATTGCCAGTAATTCAAGCGTCTACTTTGCCATGATGGAGTACATCCAGAAGAATTCAAGTGATACTAGTCCTGCCACTGTCAAATGGCTGCAACAACACCAACTATTCTGTGTCTCCAGATTTACAGTTAAATGAGGGGGAAATACATTTTCATCTTATATTACTTTCTATATCTGCTTTTCTGATATTGCCAATTGAAAGCTCTAGTTGAAATTGTATTCAACATAACTAAACATCTTCCTTCAAAATGTATTTCATTGTATGAAAACTATATTCAGTTAAATAAGTTATAATTATTCATTAAATAGGCAACTACTTTTTAAGTAACATTATATATTTTACTATAAACTATACAGATTCATTCTAAGATATTTAGAAATTACCAAACTTTTAAATAAAACATTAGCCACAATTCCAAGCAGCCAAAGATAAATCACCATTATTACATTACTGTGTTCACTACTATGTTACACACATCTATACTCTACTATTACTGCTACGTTATGGTGTTCACTACTATGTTACACACATCTATACACTACTATTATTGCTACATTACTGTGTTCACTACTATGTTACACACATCTATACACTACTATTATTGCTACGTTACTGTGTTCACTACTATGTTACACACATCTATACACTACTATTATTGCTACGTTACTGTGTTCACTACTATGTTACACACATCTATACACTACTATTATTGCTAGGTTACTGTGTTCACTACCATGTTACACACATCTATACACTACTATTACTACATTACTGGGTCATCACGATATGTTACATAGGTATATAAGCTATTTCAAAGTCAGACTATACAGAATACCCAGCCTCCACTCAGCATTATGTTTACTATAGGATATTTTCTATGAGTATCCCATGCTAATTAAGTAATTTTAACAATGACAGACACACGACAAATGAGTGATCCAGAACGTGGTGTTACTGAGTATGAAATTTCCCAGCATTTCATAAATGCTGCCTAAATGCCTTCTAGAAAAACAAAGTCCATTGTGTACCACAGCACCAGTATTCCTTGGAGAAATGTAATGACACTTCTTTACTCTTCTGTTGATCTGGTAAGTAAATAGATTATACCTCATTCTTCAATTTTTAATTTGCTTATTTTGGTTACTAATGACAGTGACTAAAGATATTTATGTCTTCCTAGTGGTTATTTTCTGAACTATTCCTCAGTATATTTTTAAGCATAAAAGTACTTTATATGTAAAATGATAATGTTTGGATACTATTTGTTATAAGTTATACCCCATTTCAGTAAGCAGTTACTTTTCAGATTTGCTTATATTTATTTTTATGAACTTAAAAGATATTTTTATGCCTGGTGTGGTGGCGCACACCTTTTATCCCAGTACTTGGGAAGCAGAAGCAGGTGAATCTCTGTGAGTTCAAGGCCAGCCTGGTCTACAGAGAGAGTTCCAGTACACCCAGGGCTACAGAGAGAAACCCTGTCTCAAAACGCCCCCGCCCCCAAAAAGAAGAAATTTTATTTTCTATGTATGAGTGTCCACTTGCAAGTGTGTGTACATCACATGTGTGCCTGGCATCCACAGGGACCAGAGGAAGGTGCTGGGTCCTCAGTAACGAGAGTCACTGATGGTTATGAGACACAACATGAGTCCTAGGGAGGGAACTCAGGTTCTCCACAAGAGCAGCAAGTTCTTAACCACTCAAGCCATCTCTCGGCCCCAATTTTTATAAACTTTTAAAAACTAACCCACAGCCTAATATCAATACCCTCTGCAACCCTCTTAGCAGATAGGGATGATTTTTATATGATGACAACTGGGTTTTAGAAAAGAATAGTTTAAGAAATAACATTTTGCAAATTCTTATTGGCAAAAAGAAACATCAATTCAAGAGAATAACAAATATATGACAATTGCATTTTGGAAAAGAATGATTAAAGATATGATATTATAAATTCTTACTGGCAGTCAAAAGAAAGAGAAGAGCAAATATTCCATTGGTACATAAGTATTTTATCTATCCACATACCTGCTTGTGACAATGATGACATCCTCAGAGATGGTAGCCATTTCCTTAATGGTAAGGTAGCACATTCTCCTGAGTGTTTGCTGAAAGTGGATTTACAGATGACAGCAGGTTATTTGTAAGAACCCTGCTAATTCTTTAAATAACTCTAAAACATATTAATTAAGAGGTGTTCCTGGGCCAGTAAGATAGCACACAGGGCAAAGGTGCTCTCCATCAAGTTTGATGGCTTGGGTTTAATCCCTAGAACCCAAATAGTGAGAACAGAACCAACTCCCACAAGTCATCAACTGACACACACATGAATAAACATTAAAAACAAATAAAGGAGATGGACTTTAAAATATCTATCAAAAAAAAACCTTTTAAAACTATATGGCTATTTTTAAAAAGCTCAAAATACTATTTCTTAAACAAAAACTCATGATACACTGATACCTGAGGAAACATAAAAGCAAAGTCTTAAAAAAAAAAAAATCAATTACTTGCCAGGAGGCAGAGACAGGTAGATCTCTATGAGTTCGAGGCCAACCTGGTCTACAAAGCAAGTGCCAGGACAGCCAAGGCTGTACAGAGAAACCCTGTCTTGAAAAAACACCAAAAAACAAAACAAAACAAAAAGCCTCAATTACTCTTCTAAAGAGATATAATTGTTTTAAAGTAATAAAGAAAGTGTATTTTTAAGATCCTTAAGCAATGTATATGTAGAGATAACTAACACTCATTGTGTTTTCCCCTCCATTCAGTGAAAACCAGTGTTTCTCCTAAAATGACTTATTACTGGGTAATCAACTTCCATAAAATTACCAGGATCCAAAGTGAGACAGCAACAATAACAAAACTCCCAGCCCAACTCTCCTCAGCTGCATCTCTGATTTACTTGAAGATCCCAGGATCTACTAGTCTGCCCAGCCTCCTTCTTAGTACCTTCAGTGTCTCACAAGTTCAGAAACTCACACACATCGGACCCAGTCCCAGAGCCCAAGCTATAGAAAAAAACCTGCTTGACACTACTGAGCCCAAGAAAAAAGAAAAATGAAGATTCTCAGTGTGATTTAACACAAAGAACTGAGGAAGGGAGGGAGGGAAAGAAGGAAGGAGGGAGGGGAGATGGGAGTGGGGGAGGGGAGGGGAGGAGCTGGGAGGAGATGGGGTGGGGGAGGGGAGGAGAGGAGATGGAGTGGGGGAGGGTGGCAGGCAGGCAAGCATACAACAGATCAAAGTCACACAAACATAAAGCTAACAAGAAAACCGTAAATAGAAGTCAAAATTTCGAACTAAAACAAATTCTATTCTACATAAAAGACCTAGCATAAAACACCGATGAAAACTGGATGTGCAAAACATTAGCCAACGTAGAAGAAAAAAGTGGGTGCTCAAGTTAGCAGTCATAAGGCAAATGGAAATTAGATTCAGACACTACCTAATGCCCCCCAAAATGGCAAAACTTCTAAAAACTAACACTGAAAAGTGTTGGCATAAATGTACTTTTAGCCAGCAAAACACATTATGTAGATAAATACACAGAAATGTTAAACAGAATATGAATCAAAATTAATTTTTTAAAAATAGTATTTCACAGAATAAAAACATTTTTCTGTAATATATATGATAGAGCTTGCATCTAGATTATATAAACTATTACAACTCAATAACAAAAGCACAACACAATTTTTTTTAATGGGCAAAGGATTTGTTGATTTTTTAAAATTAATTTTCTGAGAATTTCATATAGTGTATTTTGATCCTATTTTCTCTTCAACTCCTCCCAGATCTACTCCCCCAACACACACACCTACCCAACTCTGTGTCCTTTTCTAAAATTTTTAAACCCAGCAAGTCAAACTTATGCTTATGGAAATACTTGAAGAGACATTTATTCAAACAGACATGAATGGCCAATAATCAAATGAAAAGACTGACCCCAAAATTTTACTATGTAGCCATGGGCAAAATACAGAGTCTCAGGTCAGGAGTCCTGGCAGTGAAAATGAACACTCATACTCATGAGGATCTCATTGGCTGAGAAATAAGTATTTAAAGAATAGATTCTAAAAAGTATATTCTTCAGATGCAAGGAAAACTATTCCAGATAGTAATTCAGATATAAAGCAAGGAAGGAACAGTCAGACAGGAAAAAAAGTATTAAAGATAAATTTGAATGAAAGAAAAAACTAAAAAGATCTATTTCTAAATATATAAAAATATACTTAGAAATATACACATATATAAAGACATCTGTTTACATATTCATATATATGGTAGGACTGTCTAAGACTCTCAAATTTCCCATAAGCAGAGAAAAGATAGGGATGAATATTAGATTTTGATAAGTTCATAAAGCAATTTAGGGTAACTGCCAGAAACCCTGAAAATATTATCCAATATGCAAGTGGCGTTCTTCATTTTGTTGTCTTTCTTTTCTTCTTCAGGGTTATTTCAGACTGTTTCTATATCTGTCTTCAAGTACACGAATTCCCCCCCCCCCCCCACTTTTCTCCTCTCTCTCTGGTATCCTTCCTAAGATTTAAACTCTCTTGGCCTTCCCAATTCTCCCTGTCCTTCCAGTTGCCTATAATCAGCCTCTGGGCAGCTCACTGCTGCAATCAAAGGGCTCATCTTGATTGCTTCCCTTTCTCAGATCACAGTCCTTGCATGCTGGACATACTGTCTGGAAACTGCAACTTCACATGGTTTTTTTTGTGTGTGTCTTTAGTATTTAGTATTTAGCAGGGCAAATCCAGCCCTACACAAAGCTGGAAACAAAACAGAAATGTGGTTCTTAAGATCAAAATATGGAGTAATTTATCCAAAATAACTGATTTTCTTTTCCTACTCGTTTCTTCTGCTTCTTTCAGTACTGATTTCTAACCCTGCTACAGCATAGCTAAAATACGATTTTGTTCCTTTAAAATTACCTGTCTGCTTTTATTCTGGTTCTGTAAATGCTGTGTTCTTCATTTATATACACAATTAGATAAATTTATGTGTTTGTCTTTTTCTCTTCTCTTGCTCTCATTCTCTTGCTTCACTTTTTAATGGGCTTCACACTGTGACACAGACTACACTTGAACTCAGTAGGCAGTCAAGAATGGCCCTAAACTTCTGGTCATCCTGCTGCTACCTGCCAAGTGGTTACAGGTGCACACCATCGCCTGGTGTGATGGGCTTCATGCATTCAAGCCAAGCACTCTACCAACTAACCAATATCTTCAGCTCATCCTATTTTCCTCCAATTATTTTGGAAAAGAAACATTAATAGGAAAAACAATAAATCAAAAAGCTTGCTCCATGAAAATATCTATAAGGTATAAACCTCCAGATGAAACTCTAAGGAATACAAGACATAATTTACCCATATTAAAATGATAGATATCATTACAAAATCTACAGACATTATAAAAAAAGATAATGAACAATTTTATTTTCCATCCTCCAACAAACTCAACCTTGTGCATACACTCACATGCACACACGTACAGGTGCACTCACACACACAGAAAAATTCTTTTATCATTTCAATTTTCTTCCATTAATGTTCCTATCCTTCAAATTGAAATCTTTTGTTCCCTAAGGATTGCCCTGCAACTTTCTAAATGGTGGCTGTTTTCTTTCTCATAACCTCCAGACAAGGAAGCCACTCCTGCCTTTTCAGCTCCTGACATCACCTTCTTTCAGTGCACCCCCTTCCCTAAAACGTTCTGGATTTTAAATGTCATGCCCTTACACCATATCACCTACCATCATTCACCGCAATGGTGACTCATTTTTGCTGTCACAGCCTCTAGCAGTGACAGCCACCACTCTTGGCTCCATCAACCTGGTTCATTCTATCATTACGTATAACCCCTCTATCCTATAATTATTTGCTGACCCCAACAGGCCCAATGCCAGGTACCTGACTGCAAAATCAGAGCCACATCCAGCCTTGCCTGACTTTTATAAAACAGCACTATTCCAACAACTTGAAATGCCTACTTTTCTAGTCTAACCCTGAAGGAAGAGCACAATGGCTCTGTTTTTTGATTGAACGCTGAATTCTTGGTACAGGAAGTGATTAAAAGGGTGCATGTCCTAGAGGCTAGGAACTTGAAAATGCTTCTCTGTTTGGACTGAAGACATTAACAATCCTGTTTCTAGGTAATCAGGGGATGAAAGTAGTCCATAGCATGAAATAACAAAGAAACATTTAAATTATCACTTGTAAAGACTTACAGAAGACAGTTTTAGTTAAATAAGAGGGTGCATTGTAATAAAAATTAAGTTGTTAAAAGTAATTTGTTTAGGGGGCTGAGAAAGCTAGTTCAGTAGGTAAAGGCACTTGCTACCGATACCGAAGGCCTGAGTTCAATCACCTGGACCGTCATGGTGGAAGGACAGGACTGAGTATTGCAAGTCGTCCTCGACCTCCACACAGGCACCACCGCATGTGTGCACATACAAATCACATACAAATCTCTTCAAAGAAAATGATGAGCTTAACAGGTTTAAAATGGACAGCTGAAAGTCTGTGAAGGAACCAGAGATCCTCTCTGGTCATATATACTATATATTATACTGCTGTGTGACAGGAACCCTTTTGCCATGACCATGTGGCCACAAAACTGGGAAAGCATATCCTGCAGGAAGTTTAATTACAAAACAAATTGAAGCCATACCCCTGGAGAACTAGATTGGCAAGGAAGAAGATCTGAAAGTGAGGTGGAGACAAATGGACAGATTTTGATGAAGGTATCTGAAACCCCAAATTCTGCCAAGCATCTTTTGTCAATACAAGTACTCTGATCTGAGGGGACTGTTCTCCCTCTACCTGAGCATATATAAGGCTTCCCTTAATAGAACTGTCCTACAGGGGTCTGCTGATTTTCTTGAAGAACCACTTCTAAAATCTTCATTATCTAGACATATGGGGCAGACTCAAATCCCAGGGGTCCTAGGAACTGGACACAAAATGTACCCTGTGCTGATACACAATATGCATGAAAAGAAGTTGGCAAAAGCATGTTAACAAAAGGCTAAGAAATATGTATCCCAGAATTCTCCTCCCTGTGTGTGTCTGTATTGAAGCTGGGCACAGAAGAGATGTGCCACACTCAGAAAACACAAGGAGAGCGGCAGCAACCACCTCTAAGCACTGAGGTGGCCCAGGGTAATGAGGCAGCTACGGAGGTGTGGCAGGCTTACTGTGTCCCCACTCCAAATGCAGCTCTTTTCAACCGCCACCCCGCTGACCAATAACCTGGACCCAAGAAAAACCTGACTAGGAGCCAACTGAGCGGGACTTCAGGTATCAGCTTTCCCCCTAATGACGTCAGGAGCAGCTTTATACTATATACTTTATATAGTAATACTATACAATATACTTTATACTATATACTTTCATTCTCCCACATTCACATGACATTTAAAAACATCCGTAAGTTTTATAAGGAAAGACTGTTTTAAAGTCATTTTAAACATTTCAAACAACCCTCTTTAATTTGGAATACTCTTAAGTTCCTGGGAAAAATAAATGTTTTCATCATAAAAGAATAAAAAAGACTTACATCATTAGATTGAAACAAGCGAGTCATTGCAAAGAAGGCTTCTGTAGCTTCCATAGTCCCAAAGGGCTCACCCTAAGTAAAATTTAAAACGAGTTTTTAAAATGAAAAAATATAGATGTTAAGGATTTTCTCTTTATTTCCTCAAGAAATCATTTTGAATTCAGGAGAAGGTCTCTTTATAAACATTCTTGGCAACTTTTCTGCTTTCGATTTAGAAACCTGCAGGGGAGAAAAACTCCTCAGGGCCATTTAGAGACTTGTTATTTAAAATAATTCAAAATACCACACCACAGTTCTGGAATTGTAGTCTCTACATCTTTAACAGAAACTGCTTCTATTTCCCTCAAGGATTTACAGGGAGGTAAAACATGATAGGAAGTAGAATTTCCAATCACCATTGCATGATAAGGTCACACAACCTAAAATCAGGGATTACACCTTGTAAATTTCCACAGTCTAATGCCTGGCACATAACCAGTACAGGACAGGTGTATCGCGCTTGCGTGCGTGCGTGCGTGTGTGTGTGTGTGTGTGTGTGTGTGTGTGTGTGTGTGTGTGTGTGTGTGTGTGTGTGCTCCCAGAAAAAATGGCAACATGGTATCCAAACCAAAAGAGAAGGATCTAGATTCATCTTCTTTTTATCTTTCTAGGTGCTATAGATACTGACCTAAAAACTCTTAGAAGCATGATTTGGAGCTTACAATTTTTGATGCGAAAACAGATTATTTAGGGATCCTGTCAAAATGCAGTCCCCTTCAGTGAAATCTTGAGGAAACATGACAGTTTTCACTTGGTACAAACTCCCAGACACGACAATGCTGTTGCTGATCTGGCAGTAGCTCAGATAGACAACTTAATTCACTAATTTAAAACATTTCTGGTCATAGACTTCCTCAAACACTACCATTTCAATACTTACTCTTTTCTTTGACATTGGTCCTATACAGCACATCAAGCCCAATCAGTTTTCAGGGTTCAGATTTTAAATGAGATACAAGTAGTCTTACATCTATTTGCCAAGGGGATAAGAATTTTGCTATAAAAAGTGTCTCCAGTTTAGGATGAAAGACAAAGTCTAACAAAAGTTTACAACTATTTAAATCAGTGTCCAACTTGCTTATCAGAAAGAGACAGGCCTTTCTTACTGTGAAACTCGCCAAATACCCAAAATCCTGTGGGAGTCTTCAGTCATATTAGAAAAATCTTGTTACTACTTTTTGACTTAAACTCAGAATGTGTGGCTCTGTCAACTCTAGCAGAAATTTTGAAGTGTTTTTTTGTTTGTCTGTTTGTTTGTTTGTTTCTCCCCCTTTTCTCATAGAGTTCTACAAGAACCAGGGAAGGGGATAAAATGAATGCTCCCAACCCTGTTTACATGACCAAGTTCATGCCCAGTCTCCTTAACAAGATCACTGCCAACAGGAATTGATCCAAGAAAGAGATATTGGCCAACTTGACTTTGACTTCTTTGAACCAACTTTGACTACTACAATTCCAATGGAGTTAGCCACTTTGGACTACAATACAATATATGTGATGCAAAGTCAAACTGATTTTGGCTTAAACATTCCTAACATGCTGCCACAGTAGGGTAACATGCTTATTTCTCAATCTTCATTTGGAAACAACAAAATTTTGTTAAGTCTTTAGATTACGTCTTTAGAGGCTGTTAAGATGGCTCAGTGGATAAAGACACTTGTTACCAAGCCTGACAACTTGAGTTCAGTCGCCATGTAGAGAGACCCGACCTCCATATGCACTTGAGGAAAGCACACACAAAGTTAATAAGTAAATGTAAAAAAGTAAAATAAAATTTTTTCTTAGAATTTCAGTTGGTAAATATAACACATTTAGTAATACATATAAATCTCTTAGGTATGCAAAGTATATAGGTTTGTATATAAATACTCAAAGAGAAACATACTGTCTACAAAATAAAATCATATTTTCTAAAGTTTTAAATATTTGTGAGACTGAATTTACTGTTTGAGGCAAAGGCAAAAAAGAAAATTAATAGCAATAATAGAACACAGAATTTAAAAAAAAAATTGGTTTTGTCTGCTATAACACCAGTGCCTAGAACAGTATATAAGATACAGCAGGAATGCAATAAAACTTGTTGAGTTACAAAAGGAAAGTATTTCTGAATACAAACTATGTGCTTAATACTATTACAATGGCTTATATCTACTATTTCATTTAACTGTAATGTTATCATCTGGGTGTGGTGGCACACACATTTAATCCCAACACTCGGGAGGCAGAGGCAGGCCCATTTCTGTGAGTTCGAGGACAGCCTGGGCTGATCTACAGAGCATGTTCCAGGACAGCCAGGGCTATTACACAGAGAAACCATCTCAGGAGGAAAATATATTGGTATTGCAATCCTCATTTACACAAGAGCAGTAACCCACATAATGATTAAACTACTTGTCCAGAATCAAACTGGTAGTAATAGTGTAATAATGCTACTAATACAAAACCTGAACATGGCTCATGTTATTTCTGTCCTAACAAACAAATCTCAGGAAGTCAGAATAGTTTACCTGGTTGAGTAAGTACAGAATCTTTGTCAAGATATGCAAGCATCTTCTTGGATTGATGGGGGTTTCATTGAATATGCGTGCCTACAGAAACATGCAAAACAGTATGCTATATATGGTGTAATTTCTATCACAGAGGACAACAAATCATCTTTAGTAACATTAACATCACGTTAGTAAACTATCCAAATAATGTCAGTTGTCTATGCTCTCAAGTTATGACAGTATACAGTAAATTACTGGATGGGACCTGGACTTTCCTATCTATACTTTCTTATTTACTCCCTTAGGTTGGCTATTTCAACTTTAAAGACTTTACCAGAACCTCTGTCTACATAGGAACATCAAGAGTTTAATATCTGAGCTGGGCGTCAGTGGCACACGCCTTTAACCACAGCACTCGGAAGGCAGAGGCAGGTGGATCTCTGTGAGTTCTAAGCCAGCCTGGTCTGCAGAGGGAGTTCCAGGACAGGCTCCAAAGCAATACAGAGAAACCCTGTCTCGAAAAACCAAAAAATAAAATAGTTAATATCTGTGAAGTCTTCCAATAACCTTGCACTTAACACTACTTCTTCTAGTATTTCATTAAAATCCCCCAGCACCCAACAGAGCCTGTAGGTCTACCTCTCTATGGTTCCAGACTGCCCTTTTCCCTCTTTCTATCCTCTGCACTCAGTTATACTCCTTTCTTACTTTTAATATAAAAAAGAAAAATCAATTTCTTTCTTTGACCAAATGTAGGGAAGAGTGACTTTTAGCCTGCCAGGTGGGTCTACGCTCCTTCATTCTTATTTTGGGTGTCCTGACTTTAGTACCTCAGAGGTTCTCTGCCCATCATTCTCAAACAGAATCAACAAGGTAGTGCACACATTCAAGCCATACCTCCTGCAGGACAGCACTCTTCTCCAAATTCTGGAAAGGATTGGAAGCACTACCTATAGTGTAAGAAAAAGAGAAGGTCTTCGGTAGCTGTCCTGCAAAGACTTTTTCCAGAGAAGGACATTGCATGCTTGGGGATTCTCACCTCAACAGTATGGTCCCTTGGAAGTCACAAGGACAACCATGACTAATATGCAAATTAGTTGGAAGAAGTAATTTTGGTTCTGGTACAAATTCTGTCATTGCCATACTGAGGGAGCATGGCCTTCTCTGGATATAGGAACCCTGTCCAAAATGAGTGCCTTCCCCCATCCCATGGATGTTAACAAATGTGTCGCTTCCACCACCACCACCAAGAGTAATGAGATGACAGGACACTATGGATTTCCCTAAAAGCAAGCCCTGCTGTACGTGTTTCACACATTTACTGAAGCAGAAAGGAACAGTGTCGCAGAGAATCACAAATGTAAAGAGGCCATGCAGGATGAGGCCATGAAGGTCCACTAACCCAACCTTCCACCACACTTGTGAGAGCAGCTACCACTGAAGAGCTGAAGATTTTTTTTTTTTTTTTTGAAGAGGCTTGGCATCTTCCCCACTTGCACTGCACCACAGACAGGGATCAACACGCAAGTCACTTCTGGATGCCTGCGCATTCAATGAGCTGTGTCCCACCGGGCAGTCTTAACCCCTGGGAACAGGAGAATCAAGGCCCTTCAGAGTCCATAAACA